AAGGTGCCAATTTGGGTAAAGTTCCCAAGGCTCCCATTGAGGTTGTGGAATGAGGATACTATATGTGAGATTGCATCCAAGGTTGGAGTTCCACTCGCAACGGATAAGATAACGCATTGTAAGCACCCCGGCCCCGCAGGACCCGAGGTAGTTACTTCGAACCTATAGTACTGTCCTCACAAACCGCCACTAGCCTTTTACGCGCACTTTGTCCTCACTCATGCGCGCCCTGAGAAACTTCCCAGGGGGTCACCCATCCCAAGACTACTCCCATGCAAGCACGCTTAACTTTGGAGTTCTTGGGTGATGAGCTCCCTTAAAAGGAGATGCATCTTGTTGGTATGAGTAGTACTATTAATCCGTTTATATTAAATCTCAAGTGTTACACGCATGAAAAGGCAAACCACAACTTCGCTAGGGTATTAATTGAAGTGGACGTGACAAAGCCACCTCCTCTCTCTTTTCCAATCCGGATATCTTCAGGGAAAACCATTGAGCAACAGGTTTTATATGAAACATTCCCGAATTATTGCTACCATTGCAAGCAATTTGGACACCATCCATTTGTTTGTAGTGTATTAATAGCCAAGGAAAGGGGAGAACTGGAAGAAGTTGAGGCTAACGAAATCGCCAAGGAGCCTACAACAAAGGCCAGAGTTGTACCAGCAGAATTAGAGGCTGCCAAAGCCACTAAGTAGGCCACGACGAAGGCCATAGTTGTGTCAGAACCAAAGGACCCGGATGGTGAATTTGTGGAAGTACGAAGGAAGAAGGGTAAGAAGAATGCCAAGCCGATGGTACCTTCGGAAACCATTGCTAAGGCCGCCACACAAAAAGCAACTTATACCAAGGCTACTACTAGCAAACCAAATAGAGAAGAGCCTGTTTTGGGCAGCGACAAAGATGATGGTGAGGAGACTTTTGAAGAGGAAGACGAGGAGGAGACTCACGGGAAAGAGAGGATACCTTTTAAATTTGATTTAAGAATGGTTGATGAAGCATGGGAGAAGAAATGAAAGAAAAACAAAAGATAATACGGGGTATTATCTAGTAGATTGCTTGGTTTGAGGTTGTTTTTGCTAGACTGTTTTAAACTTAGCCGGGGCCTGTCCCGTGCAAGTCTTACGTTTTGATTTTGATTATCTAGGTTAGTCTTGACTATTTTAGATAGATTGTTTTTAGTAACTTTTTTCGACACATTGTATTATGTAATTTTTCTTGGGTGCTAATAAAATTTACATTTCATCAACAAAAAACAAATTGAGGAAGACAAATATTGTGGCATTGAGTAGTAAAACTGAATTAGCCGTCATCTAGAACACAGTTCAAATGCCAAATCGATGATTGGATAGAACTAGCACCCAAAAAGTTCTTCAATGGTCTCTTCATTTCTAGCACATGGACTAGCACATGGACTAAAGAAGTGTTTGGGTTTCCTTTAAAAAAGCGCTTTTCAGCTTTTGGCTTAAAAAAAGTTTAAAAGAGTGTTTTCAAATGACACCTTCTGCTTAAATTAATCACTTTAAAGCTAAAAGCTGAAAGCAGGTAGAAGAATGCTTTAAACTGCTTCTCACTTTTTCTATTACACAAAAAGTACTTATTTTACCAAACACTACCAACTTTTACTTTTCCAGAATCACTTTTTTCTCAAACACTACCAACTTTTGCTAGTAATCACTTTTCCCAAAATCACTTTAAAAAATCATTTTTTTAAAGTTGAAGCAATGACAAACACTCCCTAAATGAAATGCGACGCAATACCAAAAAGTGGCCCATGCAAGTAATTTCCCTAATCGCGAAGGCCCATTATTTGACCATCACCAATGTCAATCTCCTCTCTCAAGTCCATCATCATTTTCGTTCCTTTCCAATCTTCTTCCAAAAAAAGCCCATCACAAGGCACATCCGCCGCCTTCTTTCAAACTCCATCACCTGCGCCCCTACTCCGTCTGGAAATTCTCCGCCCATCACAAGGCACATCCTAGTGAGCTCTCTCTGCCTGGAAATTCCATTCCCCAGCTCTGCTTTCGTCTGCTGTGCGATAGACGGTTAACTTTACGCTCGTGAAGTGTCCTACCTACAAGCATGGGGAAGAAGAGGCAGAAGATAGTCCTCCCACCGGAGCTTCCCCGGGAAGTTCCGGATGAAGAAGTCCAAGTATCAGATGATGACTTCGATTTCGTTGATCAAAATCGAGATTATGCCAGTTTGTTGAAGAATCTGGACACTAAATCTATTACAAAGTACAACTTCTCGTAGCCTCTTCCTTTCACAGTGATATTTGAGGCTTGTTTGTAACGGAAAATCTATCTTATATAGCATATTCGTCTGATAACTAGATTGTTTTGGCTCAGTTTCTCAGTTTCTTGGGTCAATAATTGAAATTTGGAGTTTGATATGAGTTTGTGTCCTAGTGAGCTCTCTATATGCTACAGTTCCATGTAGAATCAGCGGGATTAAATGCATATTTTAAGACGGGTCAGCCGGATTTTTGTTTTTTACCATTTGTTATCGAGTTCTTCCACTGGAAGTCTATTTCCTATTATTGCTAACACAGTAATACTTGTTTTGCTTCATAATGTTGTTAATCCTATTCATTCTGCTTGATAAGACATGTTACTCGCATCGCTGATGTCAAAGAGGATGCAGTTGAAGCTTTATATGAACGGAGATCAAGGAAACGATCACATATTGAAGAAAAGGAGAAGGATACCATTGAAGTAGATCCTGTGGATGCACTTCCCGTGAAGACATTAGATGGAAAACTTTATTACAGGACATGTGCGTAATTGAATTGCATTATACTACCCTCATCACAATATTAAGTTCTAGGTTGCTGAATTCTCCCAAAAAAATCTCAACTGGGCTCTTAATCTACTACATAGTATTTTATACACCAAACATTTATCATAGCTGAATTCATTTGTTGCAGTTCTAGTGTAGTTTCGAAAGATGTAAGTTTTAGTTATTAATACTAATTTGATTATAATGAGGGAGAAGTTAAGTTTATTGTCAGTTAGAAACTTAGAATATCCTAACCTGAAGTCGGAACCTCTTTTTGGCATGGAAAGGATATAAATTTTTCAGATCAAATGGGTCACAGAGCATGCTCTTTTTTAATTTCTATTTTTTATTTTGCAGTGTCAAGGGAACCAAAGAAAGTAGAAAGCAAACAGGACAGTGAACCTGCTGGTGGTGATGAAGATGTGGGTGGAAACATAGTGAAACTGAGCAAGGCAGAGAAACGTGCAAAGTTTAAGAAAACAAAAAAAGAGGCAAAGAAACAAGCAAAGGAAGGAGTTGACCTGGAGCAACTGAATCAAGCACCTCAAGCTGAAGTGTTGGTATGCAACATTTACGCAGTTTCATGGTTTTGGTTTTGTACATTGTTGCACATCTCAACATCAGTGATATTTTTTAAGATTTACAAGCAACAGCACATTATAATCTAGGACAGAGTAAATACAATAACTGAACTGATTGCTTTGCTAGTGGAATAAGGAATGGATGTGTCGTATTACATGGTGAAAATAATACCTTGTTCATCTGTTCTTAGTCTGCAAATATATATTTATATACACTACATGCATATATTCATACAATATCTTCATGGTGTTCTTCATGGCTCTTAGGATGAGGTCAGGAAGGAGTTGATAGTTGAAGAGGACAATGAGAAGAAGAAGTATAAGCTTGCTGAGCTAGGTACAGCCTTGCTTACTGATCCAGAAGCAAACATCAAATCTCTCAAGGAGATTATGCAAATTTCTAAAGACGGAGATCATGAGATAGTCATACTTGGTCTCAAATCTTTGCTAGCTGTTTTCAGAGACATCATTCCTGGGTGGGAGATGCAATATTGTTTTATGGAATGTTTTTCCTTAATTTATTCTCTTCTATGCTTGACAAAATCAGTTTGTTATTTTTTTTTCTAATGACAAAATTATTATTGTTATGCAGCTACCGCATTAGACTGCCAACCGAAAAAGAGCAGGAAATGAGAGTGTCAAAAATTGTTAAGAAAATGCGATTTTATGAATCAACCCTCTTGTCTTCATATAAGGTTAGATTTTGGACTTAGCAGATCAACATTTGAAGGATATCAAGCAGTTACAATTTCAACTTACAAATGGCGAGATGCAATTATTAGTTTATTATTTGTCATTTATTCCATTTATTCTAGTTTCCAGTAGATGCATATGCGCACCCCTTTTTCCCACTTTATTTTTAGTACTTCTCTTCGTAGGATATTTAACTCCACTTCTTCTTCCATGGTCTTGAACATAAATAGAGCATGTAGTTTCCTTCACATACTTCACGTTTTGAGCAGAGCATTTCAATTGAACTAAAAAGTATACCACCTTAGGATGGGCTTACTTTCCTTAACTTTGATGGTTTTTCTAGGCTGTCTTTCTTTCTGCTATTTGTTTAAGAGGGATAAATGGATAATATTTGATCACTCTCACAGTCTCACGGTGATGGATTAGTAACACATTTTGTTGTTGGTATGCTCTGAAGCACCTCTAATGTTAACAGGATTGCTTTTTTGACCAAATTGATGATAAGAACAAAGAACTCCAGAAAATATACCACTTTATTATAGCAATTGTGAATAATAGAGTCTGTCAAGTTTCAGAGTTCCTGATAGATAGGAATGAAGAAAAACGGAAAGAAAGTTTACAACTTTGAAGCCATTCGAGAGGGCCCCGCTCTCCTAGAACTATCCAAAATTCCCGATTCCCAGAATGCCTTCCTCCACCTTCCTTCTGCCTTTTATTCTCTTCTTTTTATTATTAATTTACCCTTCTACCCCTCCTGGTAGACTCTAGAGAAATCCCTATTGTAATTAATATCCAACCTCCCCGTATTCTCATCATTACCTCCCCCTTTAAAATTCACCTTGTCCCCAAGGTGGAAATTTGGAAACATAGCTATGAACTGAGACAAATCTTCCCAAGAGTCTTCAAATTCTGGTAGATCTTTCCAGCGAATCAATATCTCCTTGCTCCCATTGGCGTTTTCTCTAGCATCCAGATTCCAGCACTTGTGCAGGTTGTGTTTGGAGTTCCCAGTCTTCAGTCAAACATCCTGGTAGAGGCTGAGTAGGAATATTAGGGGCCACGACTTTTTTCAGCAAAGAGACATGAAATACCGGGTGTATCTTGCAACCTTCTAGCAGTTTTAACTTGTAAGCCACTGGGTTGATCTTATCCATGACCTCAAATGGACTGTAAAACCAGGGGCTTAGTTTTTGATTCAGCCTCTTAGCTAGACTTTTCAGCTTGTAAGGTTGTATTTTCAAAAACACTTTGTCTCCCACCTCCAGCTGCACATCCCTACGCTTTTTATCTGCCTGTTGCTTCATTCGATTTTGAGCCACCTCTAGGTTTTGCTTTGATTCCTTGATCATTTCATTGCGATCGGCAGTAAGTTTGGTTACTTCTTCCACTGCAGTTTTTGTTGCGTCCCCTAGAATTACAGTTGGAGGCTCGTGACCATATAATGCTTTGAAAGGAGACATCTGTAATGAGGCATGATAGTTTGTGTTGTACCAGAACTCGGCCCAAGGTAGCCATTGGGGCCATTAGTTTGGTTTGCTACCAGTGATGCATCTAAGATACGTTTCCACACAACGATTCACCACTTCGCCACCTCAGTTTGCCCATTTGTTTGGGGATGGTAGGCAGTACTGTATTTCAGCTTAGTACCTGCAAGTTTAAACAATTTAGACCAAAACGAGCTCAAAAATACGCTATCACGATCAGATACTATGGTCTTGGGAAACCCATGAAGCCTCACCACCTCCTGAATAAACACCTCGGCCACACTTTTAGCTGTATAAGGATGGCCCAATGCCACAAAATGGGCATACTTAGTTAACCTGTCAACAACCACTAGAATTGTATCCTTTCCCATGGTTCAGGATAGTCCTCCAATGAAATCTAGACTGATATCAATCCAAATATGATTTGGAATAGGCAATGGTTGTAGGAGTCCTGCAGGATATCCTGGTACTTGTTCCTTTGGCAGATCTCACAACTCCTCGCATACTTTTGAATGTCTTGCCTCATCCCTTCCCAGTACAGGACACTGGCTATCCTTTTCAATGTTCTAAGGTAACCTGCATGTCCCCCACAAGCTGAGTCATGAAATTCTTTCAACACATGAGTAATTCTTGGAGAATTTCTTGGTAACATGAGCCTGTCTTTATAATAGAGTAGCCCAGTTCTCAATTTAAAGCACGGTTGAGATTCTGGTTGTACCAGCAAGTTCTGAATTAATTTATTGCACTTTTTATCTTGCAACATTTCCTCCTCTAGGCCTTCCCATTCCTGGAAATTTACTACTGATAAAGCCTGGTAACCACCCTTCCTGGATAGAGCATCAGCAGCTTTATTTTCCAAGCCCGGTTTATATTTAATACTGAAATTATATCCCAGCAGCTTCGTTACCCACTTTTGTTGCTCTTCACCCATCAGCCTCTGCTCTGTCAAGAATTTCAGGCTTTTCTGATCTGTATGTACTTCAAATGTCCTGCCCATTAGGTACAGTCTCCATTTCTGCACTGCCATCACAATCGCTAACAGTTCTCTCTCATAGACAGATTTATTTTAGTTCCGGTTGGATAAAACTTTGCTCATAAAAGCAATAGGCCTGCCCTCCTGCATCAAAACAGCCCCTATGCCCTGTCCGGAAGCATCAATTTCGATTATGAATATTTTGTTGAAATCGGGATTAGCTAGAACAGGTAATGAAGTCATGGCTTGCTTCAAAACCGTTAGAAGCAGTCGTAGCCTCTTGTGTCCACTTGAACCCTCTTTTTTTAAGAGGTCAATTAAAGGCTTGGCTATTTTGCTATAGCCTTTCACAAATCTTCGGTAGTAGCCAGTTAATCCCAGGAACCCTTTAAGTCCCTTCACCTCTTGAGGCATAGGCCAGTCCAGATGAAGTCACTGCATGAATATCCAAACAGGGTCAGTTGAAACACTGCAGAGATAGCAAAAGAAACTCTTGACAATGCCCAACATCTAAGTTTTTTTTTTTAATTTTCTTTACCAGAGATGAACGTTGTATGCATGTTCATTTATCTGAATGCCTCGTTAAATTACTTCTATGTTTGTAATTAAATGTCAGTGTTGGGGTCGTTTTGTGCATAAGATTTCATCTTATTTGCATTTTACTCAAATATACATAGTTTGTGACTCTTGATGATTTTAATGTTCACCTCACTGTGCATAAATAGGCATACCTGCAGAAGCTGATTGCACTAGAAAAGAACGATGTCTACAAACGTGTGGCTATGCGCTGCATTTGCATGCTGCTTGAGGCAGTTCCTCACTTCAATTTTAGGGATAGTCTGGTGACTGCAGTTGTAAGAAACATAAGCTCTCAGGATGACATTGTAAGGTAATATATATTTTTTACTTTATACTTGAAGACTTTCTTTACCTTTTTTTGTTATGAACTGTTGAAATTGTTAATTAATTTGGGGTAGCTCCCGACTAATGATTTTTCAGTCCTATTTTTACTGATCCTTTTCTTATTCAACACACCGCTTGGTCACAGAAAACTTTGTTGTGGAGCTGTAAAGTCACTTTTTACCAATGAGGGGAAACATGGTGGTGAGGCTACCGTAGAGGCTGTTCAGTTGATTGCAAACCTTGTTAAAGTTCACGATTGTCAGTTGCATCCTGATTCTATAGAGGTGCGTGACTTATAACATAGACCAGAAGCTAAGCTTTTAATTCGACACTGTTATTATAATCGAAACAACATTCCAAGCTCATAAACTGAAAACACTGATGAACACATGTTTTTTCCTTTCATTTGAAGTTCGTAAGTCGTGTTTGCTCCGTATGGGAAAAGTTTACTTGCAATCTTAGGAGGTGTTTACTTCACTTCTAAAGTCACAGTTAGGTAGACAGGTGAAGTAAACACACAAGCTCCTTAAAAAACTGCTTACTAACCGAAAGAGGTGCTTAAAGTGCCGCTTACTAAGCATACCACCCCCATGTATTAATTATGCGGCACTTTAAGCTTTTTCAATTTCCGAATTTACCCTTACCCTCACCCCTTGCCCTTACCCCACTATTACCCCTCTACCCGCTACCCCACCCAAACCCCTACCCTACCCCACCCTACTTTATCTCGACCCCACCATCTACCCCCACCCTACTACCCTACCCCGAACCCCATACCATCTGCCCTTACCTCGACCCCACCTTGATCCCGATCCCACCCTACGAGTGGGGTAGGTGTTAGGATTATTAGTATGGTGGTTGTAGGGGAGTAGGGGTAGAGGGTGAGGTCGTGGTAAGGGTAGGGTAGGGGGTTAGGGGTATGGGTACACGTACGAGGTGACCCACATATTATATTATATATTTGTGTTCATGAATGTTTGTGTGTCTATATGTGTATAAGGTTATTTTGGACATTTTAATGTCAAACGGTGTTTTAAATCCTTTGAAGTAAACATGAGCTTACAACACTGCTTATTTTATGTGCCGCTTATTAACGCGAGTCTTAATAAGCACCGTTTAGTAACCTGTGAAGTAAATATGTCCTTAGTATATTCCTTCTGCATCTGATTTTGGCAGTTATAATTACTTCTGTCTTCAAATTGCTTCAAAAGAATTGCATTCTTTTTCTTTATCATCATCATTTGAAGCATATGTCTTTATTGCATGTGTATTGGCTCTTTTTTGTTTTATGTTTCATATAGTACACGATTAAAAGGAAAAAATGTTGAATACCACATTTTAATTTTAGATGTTATTTGCTGCTATATCAGGTTTTATTGTCCTTATATTTTGATGAAGACCTTGGGAAGCCTGAAACGTCAGAAGCAGATAATAAGATGAGCAATAAAAAATACAGGACAAAGAAGTTTAGGGAGTCGTATCATGCCTCAGAGAATGAGAAGAAGAAAGCTAGAAAAGAGATGATGTCAAAGACAAGAGAGGAGGTTTTTACTTGATGAGTAGTCATTTTTATTCCTTTGTAGATGCATGTTCATATATTTTCATGCTTTACAGATTAATGCAGAACTAAAAGCTGCATCATTTGCCAAAGATGTGGCGGAGCGGAGAAGGATGCAATCTGAGACACTATCAGCTGTATTCGAAATATTTTTCCGTGTCCTGAAGCATGCTGCTATACAGTTTAGGTACAACTACTGTACTTATCATATTAGCTACTTTAAAAGGAAAGTGGCAATGTTTTTGGGACAAACAAAAAAAGAAAGCTGGCAACTTTCAATGGGACAGAGGGAGTATCTTTTTTGAGTTTTTCCTTTCCTAGCATTTTACATAATCCAACCATTCCCTAACAGAATGGAGAAACACAGAAGTTAGGAATACCCTTGGGTGTTTTAAGTTATTTTAGTCAAACCAAACATACAAAGTATGTATATCCCTCTAGGGACTGGAGAGTAGTAGGATCCGGGGGGGGGGGGGGTCCGGACATATGGTTTATACTTCCCTCTAGTTCTAGTTATCTGTCTAGGTTGAGTAAATCACAATGTCTAAGAAAGTGTAATGATGTTTAAATGATGGGTATTAAAATAATTATAACTTCAAATATATTACCTAAGAAGGGTAATATATTACAAAGTATGTATATCGCTCTAGGGACTGGATAGTAGGATCCAGAGGGGGTCCGGGCATATGGTTTATACCCCCTCTAGTTCTAGTTATCTGTCTAGGTGGAGTAAATCACAATGTCTAAGAAAGTGTATTGATGTTTAAATGATGGGTATTAAACTAATTAGAACTTCAAATATATTACCTAAGAGGGGTAAATTAAATATATATTTGATGTTCATAGATTTCATAGATGTACCAATAAAAAAGAACAAGGAAAGCTCGTATGCACCAATGCACACAAATAAATAGGAGTAACTGAGTAAGAGTATCTGAGTATGATTGTATCAAACACAGGATGTGTGATTGCATGAAATATGTATGTTTCCATTATTGATATCAGGTCTGCAACTAGTTCTTCTCCTGCTGCATCGTTGAGTCATCCTCTGCTTGCACCTTGTCTTAAAGGAATCGGAAAATTCTCTCATTTGCTTGACGTGATGTATATGTCTGATCTCCTGAAGTATCTGAGAAAACTCGCCGGGGGTGGTGTCAATGTCAACAGTTCTTCTGAAAGTGATTCAACAAATTTGACAGTAACTGAAAGGCTGCAATGTTGCATTGTTGCTTTTAAAGTCATGAGAAGAAATCTAGATGCCCTGAATGTAGATCTTCAAGAGTTCTTTGTCCAACTATATAATATCATACTCGAGTATAGGCCTGGAAGGTAATTCTCATCTATATGCAAATAACTGCAATGATACAATATTCTCTTTCCAAATAAAATTGCCATGTTTGAATAATGTACTCCCTCCCCAGTCCCCACCTATATTAGCTTCTTACATTCCATTTTGCCCATCGCAAGAATATCTTTCGATTTCGTTATAAAGAAAGAATTGTATGGGAGATAACATTTTTCTTGCTAATTAAATCTCAACCACAAGAATACAATGGTTTAAGTTTGTTTTCGGTGGAACCATCAATCATGAATTGTAAATTTATTTGTTGGTTTAACTAGATGTATCATATGTAATACAGGTGTGAGTCTTTCGGGCTAAATCTTTGACAAATTACATGAAAAATGTTCTTTATTTGATCAAACTAAAGCAAGACTTTAAAAATTAATTTAGTAGTTTTGTAAGCGGGGAGCTTCTTTTTTATGTTTTTTATAGCTAATATTTTTTTCTTTATGCATTCTGCATTTTGGAATGTTGTAGGGATCAGGGAGAAGTGTTAGCCGAAGCATTAAAGATCATGCTGTGTGATGAGAGGCAGCATGATATGCAAAGGGCTGCAGCTTTTATAAAACGCCTAGCGACTTTTGCCTTGTGCTTTGGTTCTGC